TCTTCGAAACGGCGTCTGTCTCGTCTTCCACCGCCCCGATGTTCTTGAGACGACGCTTTTCCAAATCATAATCGTATTTCACCCCAGCTTCATCGACCACCGCTCGCTTTTGTCGTTTTAAGGCAAACGTTTGAACGACGTGATGGAACAGTTCGTCTACGTAACGTTTGATTCTTTTCTCAAAAACACCCTCGTTCGAACTATCGACGCGTCCAAAGATGTTCTTCTTTCAAAAACAAATGCAACTATGATCAATTGTGTTTATTTCTTTCTCTACATTTGTTGACCATGTAGACAATGAAACATTAAAAAATAAAAATAAATGTGTCGCGATAGGACACGAACCAGCGTGCGCGATACGCGCATTGACTAGTTACTCGAATTTACACTCGCACGCTGACCCCTATGCTAGCGCGACACATCGGAAAAGAGGACGTTCTGGTCCAATAGTTTTATTATTATTATTATTATTATAATGTAGTCCATAAAATAAAATTATTCAAACGTTACATATCAAACGCGACATCCGGCGTAGCGCACGCACATCGTTAACGGCAGAAAGTGCAAACAATCTGCGACCGCGACCGGATGCAACTTCCGGCAAAACGCTCGCTGGTTGTGCACAAGGCTGAATATCAAATACTTAGCACTGTACAACAAATAAAATGTTAAACTTTCAACAACAATAATTGTAGTACCCTTTGTCGCAACGCGTTCACTTTTGGAAATCAACAGTTGACAATGAATAATCTGTACAATATAAACACTTTACATGGATAACACCGCGCTATTCGCTCCACCGTCATGAGCATCGTTCCACAAACGACGGAGCTACCAATCGTGAATCGTGGGATTGTTGAAAAACAATCACAGTGGAGATCATGAGAGTCGACACGGGGACCTCTTACCCGATAGCGTTCGAGCCCTCGTCGTTGGACCGTCGGGCTGTGGTAAGACGAACGTTGTCATGACACTGCTCACCACGTCCAACGGTCTCAAATTCGAAAACGTGTATTTGTATTCGACCACCGAAGTGCAGCCTATGTACGTGTTTTTAAAGGAAGTGTTGAAAAATATTATTCCCTTTCATTCCTTTACGCAACACGATAGTATCGTTCCCCCTTCCGAAGCGAAGCCCAGCAGCGTCTTCGTATTCGACGACATTGCAACGGAGAAGCAAGACTGTATAAAGGTCTACTTCGCCACCGGTCGTCATAAACACACGGACGTGATGTACCTCTGTCGGACATACACCAAAATTCCGAAACAACTCATTCGCGACTACGCTAATATGGTGATATTTTCCCAACAAGACGACAACAATTTGGAATTTATATACAACGAGCATGTCGGAAACGACTTTCCTACTTTCCGTCATTTTAAAGCCATGTGCTGTCGCGTGTGGAATGAAAAACCGTTTTCGTTTTGCGTCATTGACAAGACACGCCCGGTGATCAAGGAAAAATATCGAGCTGGGTTCGATCGATTTATCGAAGTCGCACCATCTATATAATATCGTATTTCTTTTCATTCATCACAGTCGCAATATGGCGTATCTGCGACAACATAGATATCGAAGAGGAAAGGGCTTTATCGGACGTTTCATCAATCGAGCTATCGATTCGCTTTCCTTTGAGTTACATATTCCCGGTGGCTATCAGTTTTGCGGACCGGGAACGCGGCTCATCGAACGCTTAGCGAGAGGTGATGCGGGCCTCAATCCCCTAGATCGAGCGTGCAGGACGCAGGACATTGCTTACCACCAACACAAAGATGGCGAAGAACGAAAAAGAGCAGACGCGGAACTAGCGAAGCGAGCGTGGGAGAGGGTCGTGTCGAGTGACGCAAGTATCGGCGAAAGAGCAGCGGCCGTCGGTGTAACAGGTGTGATGAAACTTAAATCTAAATTAGGAGGAGGTGTGAAAAGAGGAAAAGTGGTGAGAAAACAAAAAAAAGACAAGGAAGAGGAGGGTACGGAAGAGGAAGTCTGGAGCAACGTGAAAATAAACAAAGGCTCGATGATGAAATTAAGCTGCTACAACAAAGCGGGGAAATCAAAGACACTCTTCAGGCGAAAACGAAACGCTTTTAGCAGACAGAGACAGCGAGTTCATTACGTCGTAAACGCGCGCCACACAATCGTTCTCCCCCTTCTATTCCATTCACTCCTACTACTTCACAAGAAAGATTGAAAGTCGAAGTGGAAAAGACGCGATCGATTATTTGAAATAAACTCAAAGAGCTCCGCCGATTTGAAACAAACCGTGACGACTTCCTTAAGACCTATCTCACCACCCCGATGAAGAAAGCATTCACAGAAGGATCGAAAAGATGCCATTTTTATCCGCCCCCGGAAAAAACAAAAAAGGCGTTGACAGGGGCGTGATCACGGAGAACGAGACCGAGGAAGAGGACGTCAACGCTTCTTCCTCCTCCACCTCCGGCCCGCTCGTTTTTAACATTGATGATTTTCACCTAGAAGAAGCGGACGAAAGTTTTCAAAATTTAACACGTTCGCCTAGAAGCACCAACGATTTCGCTTTCGATTCCACAGAGCCTTCGTGTATCTTCGCACGCAGTATCTTCGCACGCTATCACAGCAGAAAGACGCTGATGTGGTTTCCGGACCTCATTTCCGTTCTCATTCCAGCGGCGGTGAGAGAACGCTCTACATCGGCTGTTCTAAAATGAAAATAGACGACGGCGGGTACATTGTCGTTGGTAAAGATAATTACGAAGCGCGCCCCGGCCTCCTCGAATTAATTTTCAAAAAAGAACCGAATCTCACAGTTGTGCAAGAGAGAGACTGGAATGATTATAAGAAAATTCTCCGACACTCATACGCCCACAGAGAAGGATATAATAGGAACGGTGAAATACGAATCGATAACCTGTGGAACCATAATCATGTATTTGCTTCACTATTTCCCCCTCCTCCTTCTCCTGCTCCTCCTGCCTTAAGAGCAAACACGGCGATGCAGCGAAGAGCGACAACACGTCATCGGAAAAAAGCCGGAAAAGGTCTTCGCTTCGTGACCCCTCCTGACTATGAATACTTACCGACTCTTACTCGCGTCGAAGGAAGCCGGAAACAATGGACACGATGGGGAAATAATAGAAATAGAGAACGAACTGCGTGATGCTGGTATTATTGTTTAGTCAGTTGGTGGATCATGAAGAGAAAGAACGCTACTTCGGGCGTGCGAGAAGGGTTAGCGAGAGAAATACAGGCGCCAGCTCGCCGTCGTTACACTAGACGACGAGTGATTACGAAAGGGCTCGACGACCTTTGGTAGGCGGATTTGGTGGAGATGCAATCGTTCGCGAAATCGAAATGTGTCGCATGCGATACATTTTGACTATGATCGATGTCTACTCCAAGTACGCATGGGCGGAAGCCCTTAAGAAAAAGACAGGGGACGAAGTCGCGAAGGCTTTTACGCGCATTCTCAAACGCGCACGGCCCAGAAAGCCTTCGCTCTTACAAACGGACGCCGGTACGGAATTTTACAATAGCACTGTTGCTACGTATTTTACGTTTTCCAACATCAAGGCAGCTGTCGTCGAGCGTTTCAATCGCACTCTCAAAGAGCGCATGTGGAGACGTTTCTCCGCTGAGTGCACACGTCGCTGGACTCACATGCTTCTCTCGCTTATCGAGGACTACAATAACACAAAACATAGAACGATCGGCATGAAACCGAAAGACGTGAAGGACAACAGATTAATGGAGACGGTTTACGCCAACGTGAAAACTATCGACAAGCGCCAATTGAAAAAATTTCACGTCGGCGACCTCGTCCGCGTGAGCACGTACAAAAGCTCACCGTTCCGGAAGGGCTACGAACCGCGGTGGGGCACCGAACTCTTCAAAATCGAACGTATTCATCTTTCCGTTCCCATTACGTATTCGCTCGTCGACCTTCGGCAAAGCGATTACGGGTCGATTCTACGCACAAGAACTGCAACGCACGCGATTTCCGCAAGAGTGCTTGGTGGAGCGCGTCGTTCGCAAAAAGGGACCGTTGCGTCTCGTAAAATGGCTCGGCTTCGACGACCGACACAATTCGTGGGGACATGAATGTGACATGATTACATAAGAAGCGGAAGCGACAGCTTCCTCTCCGCACGGTGGAATCAGGATGTGATGACGCAGGGCGGAAACAGGATGTAGTTGATATTCTACGTTATATGCCAAGCAATAATTCGTTTTAAATCAGTCGCTTCAGAACGCTGTATGCGTGTAGATGTCCCATTGTGATTTTCTCTTTGCTGCGCTATGTGGAGTTTGTTTGATAATTTTTGTCCTCGGCTTAAACATTCTCGCGCTCTAAACATGTGGAAAGAGGAGGAGGAGCGACCGTGGAACGAAGACGATCCCATCTCGACTGTCGACGCAGCCACCAACACCGACGAGGCGCGAACCTGGGACAAGGACTTCACCACTGTACGCAAGTCTTCTTCTTTTTCCATCGAACTACCAACGCCACCGGCTATCGACCCACCAACCTCACCCGCGCTGACGACTTCACCTTCTTCTTCATACGGACTGCCGCCGTCGCCGCCGCCGACTCCATCGTCTCGTCACTTCTATCAACGCGAGCGGAAAATGTGAAAAAATACCACTGCGATCGCTGACCTCCAAGGCTTTTGGAAAGACAGAGAGTTTATTTTGAAAACTCTGACCTTGTTGCGCATACCGACTGACTTTGATGACATTGAAAAATATAAAATCCTCACGTTGACATTTAAACCACCCTGTGAGATCGAAGAACTCGGTGTACGTGATCGACGCTCGCAACAATGGATTGAGCAACACCACCATTCTATGCCCTGGCAATGTGGAAACATTCCGTATGCTTGTAGACACGAAGCGATTCGAAGAGCCGTCGGTATTGACAAAGTTTTCGTCAAAGGTGGACAAAAACACATTGGTTACGTGTGTATGTTCATTGTTACGTGGTGGACTTGGTGTTGTTCAACTGTCCGAACATCGCTACGTGTGTGAAGTTTTACCGCGAACTCTACGCTACAGACGTGACGTGGCGACTTACTACGTCTTTGCTTCAGGAGAAAGGAATACTCAACGTTCTATCCATCATGCATTGGCTCTCTACATATCGACCGGACTTGATCATCAACAACGATGACAATCCCATTCGTCATGAATGACGCAAACAGGATGCAACGACCACACTTCCTCTTCGTACTTCATGTTCCCAGTGAGTATAAGAAAATACGTGACATGAAGATAACCATAGTCATTGATAGAAAGCCATATGGATCACATCCTCAAAAACAACAAGGAAAACCTGTGTCGCGCCGAGGTGCTTCAACTGATTGTCGCCAACGCTAAAAGAGAACAACTCCGAGACACCAACGACGCCATCAATCAATACTACTCTGCACGTCCGCGCTCACTCAGAACGCTTGACGACGAGAGTCTTCAGCATCTAGCCGCATTTCTTTTCTATACATCGGCATCGTCAGACGTGCGTGACGTGTTCACTCGTCTTCCGGAAGACGTTCAAAATCTAGCCTGCATTCGCGAACTTCTGCCGTCTCAAACATTACATCACCGGGCGCACGCACATCGACGGACCGGCGCCGGCGATACGGAACTGTATGGCTTGTCGACGAGGGA